CTCTTTAACTTCTTGATTGGAGAGACTAAGATATATAATGAAGATTCTTGGTGCTGTTTAGAATCCCTCTGCTACCTGAAAGAGGCCTGCTCTGGGGACCTCAGGGCTCAGACATGATGGATTCAGGGCCAGGGAAGGCAGTATTGAGAAGTTCTTGCATAGGTTCAGATTTTAATCTAGATTCAGGGATCCAGTCAAACTGTTTCCCCAAAATCTTATTTTAGTTTCCAAACCTAAAACCTCTAAAAAAATTGGTTCTGCTTGTAGTTTAAGTAAAACCTTTCAGATTTATGGCTTTTCTAGTTTTCCTTTAGTGGTCCATATCCATTTAACCTGAATGCAGAATATGCTTTGTGAACTGAGATCATGAGAGGAAGCTAGTTCAGAAGATGAAGGTCATAGCATCCAGAGGTTTGGAGGAGAGTGACCTGGGAGGGGATACAGGGATGTAGTGGGGGAGGTAAAGAGGGATACTGGTAAATCAAAGAGTGAGAGTGAACGGTAAGTAATCCATTGGGCTAGGAGAGAGGGAGGGGTGGGAGTTGAAAAGAGAAAGAGAAAAGATGGAGGAGAGAATAAAATAAAGGGGAAGAAGAGAGATGAAAGTGCAGTAAAATGTGATAACAAGACATTAGAGAAAAGAGAGAGGTGGAAGCAGAAGAGAGGAAGAGGAGGCAAGTGAGGCAGGGGAGGTGAGGTGGAAAGAAAGTGGGAGGTGGGTAGGGGTTGGGGCATGGAGGTCCCAAGATCTGGGCTCTTTTCTTTCACCACACATCTGTACGGCAGATAAATATAGTGCAGCTGGGCTTTTCTCTCTTCTTAATTGACGTCTTTGAATCTATCACCACTTGACAAATCGGGCCACTTATTATTAGTGATGACAAGGATAAATATGACAGGCATTCATTTTGCATCTGGGCCCCCTGATAATAGAAGTCAACACACCAGTCCCTCTCCCCACTTCTTCCCGGTGGCTTGGGCTCGGGCTCCCTAGTGGGGAAAACTAAAGGCCAGGAGCTGTCCATGGCTTTGCCAGGTGCTTAAGTCATCTACAAACGCCCTCCTGGTGGGAAGCCAATGGTCAGGAACTGTCCACGATCCGAGTGGTGCTGAAAGCCTTCATACCCTGCCTCCTCTCTGATTCCAACAAGAAAGCTGAGTGACTGAAAGCTGTCCACAGCCTATGTGGTGTTGAAAGTATCTACTGTCCCTAGGGCTGGGGGTGGCAGGGTGCATCTCTTTCCCACAGGACACAATTACTTCTGGCATGGAGTGGTCGGTGGCTTAAATTTACCTGTCTTGCTGTGGTTCTAAAAAGCCTGGATAACTTTAAGTGTGTTCCTTCCTCTCTCTGGGTTTTAGGATTTCCATCTTTAACATGAAGGGCTGGATTAGGTTGTTCTTTCAGGGCCCTCAAGTGCTAGCCCTTTCTATTATCAAAAGCCTTCAAGAGGTTCCTTCTACTTCTAGGATTGAGCTACAAATCCCTTAGCCAGGCCCTGAAGGCCCCTCTCTGGGCCCTCTCCACTTCCTGGCTTTGCCCTCATTCCAGCCAGATGAGCCTTCTCTCAGGCCCCAGACACACTCTTGTTTTTTTCCCCTGAGCCTTTGCCATCCCCACTGCCCTCCTTCCACCTCTGACTCTCCGTTCCTGATCTCTGGGAGCACTGACCATCCGGGCCCCTCCTTGAAAAGCAATGGCCTTATACTCAGTGTGCTTTCAGTTTCTTAAGCCTTCTATGGCTTGTGTCTTACATGGCTCCCCTTGAAGGACTCCCCAGGACCAGGGTCATGCTCTGAATCAGTGATCAGTGTCTCACAGTTTCCCATAACTATGTGTGTGGAGCAAGGGTGAGTACCTGCAGTATTTTGACCCAATAAACTCTTTTAATTAAACTATGATTGCTCTTTCAAGACTGTCAATGAAAGAAGATTACTCCAAGAAGTGCATAGCTGAGGCTTGTGATCCCCTCTTTGAGATGGAATATTTCTGAGGCTCCCACTCCAAGCTGGCATCGTTGGGCAAGGTCACACTTATGTGGACAGAGAATCTTGCCTCATGTCCCCATGGAGTGGCAAAGTCATGGTGGGTCACACACACAAGCCGACATCTCTGTTTCCTTTGAGGCTGTGAGAGTTCACCCAATGCCTTCATTGTGTGGTTGTCACAGCCCTCCCACCTTCAGTTTTATGGACGTTTCAAGGGGGGCTTCCAAACCTGCCCCACTAGAGCTCAGACTACCCCATTAAGTTTTCTCTCTGGAGCTCAACTGTGGAGGATCCTACTTGATTAGTGGAGATGCAAGAGCTTCTCTGCACACTGTTCCCATACAGATGAGTTGCCTCTCCCTCTGCCCTCCAAAAACAAGAAGGTTCCATTTGTTGGGCTGGGCAAACAGGTAGAGAAATGGTGGCTCTCTTTTCTCCATTAAGCCCATGGGGAACTCAAAATGGCCCAGAGGTGGGCATCATGCATGAGATGGGCATCATGCAAAGGTGGGCATCATGAGATGAGAAACTCCTCATCTCAGCTGGGTAGGCAGAACCACATCCTGACAGTCTAGAAAAAAATCGTTGGGAAGAAAATTCTCTCTTCTCCCTAGACCCATTATCATCCAATTCACCAGGACAGGCCTTGGCATCCATTCTGCCCACTGTGCACTGCTTGGCAGAGGCCCTAATGCCATGGCTAGTAATCAAAATTTCCAAATTGTTTAGAGGGGAGAGTTATGTTTACTAATGGATCTGGCTGTATCTGACAAACTGAAGCCATGTGCTTGGTGGCCTCAGGGTCTCTGGAGAAGTGGGTTCAGAGCACTTACCTTCCCTCAAACATATTGGCACATTCTCAGAATCCCAGTGTTTGCCCTGTTGAACCTCATATCTTTAATCAAGAGATTTGGAGATAATCTTAGATTCTAGACCAACTCCTTTATTTGAAGATGGGAAAACTGAGACTTCTCAGGAAGGGAAAGTCAGTTGCCCGAGCCCACAGAGCAGAGAAAGGAGCATCTTTGACTCTTGGCTCTCAGTCTCATGTTCTTTCTCCTCCTGACAGAAGTGTTTGCACTTCGATAGACTTGTGGAGGCTGAGGTGCCACACCGACCCCTCTAATGGTGGGAACTTCAGGCATGGTGACATGTGGTGAGGGAGCTGTTGGAGATCCATGCTGAGGCTGAGTCTCCTACCTTGTGGAGAATGCCTATGACCTCCCTCAGAAGAACTGTACAGGGAGCAGATATGTTAGCAGCCCTTTAGAAACTACCCTTAGGGCCCTGCACTCTTCCAGGCTGATGGGCGTTGGAGGGCCTCATTTGTCTCTGCACTGGGGGATGAATGGCTCGGGAGGAGCTAATGAAGCCGTCTTCCCACCGACAAGCCAACACAGTGACGGATGGCTTGTGCGGAAAAGGCAGGTGTGGGCACATGGCCCATTGGGCAGGGTAGAGAATAGCACGTCCCTCAATGTCACTGTAGGTCACAGTGATGACTAGGGCCCCAGGGAGGGGGCAGGTAGGCTCTGGAGTGCAGTGACAAAGACCCTAGGGAGAGCCAATGCCTCCCATAGCCCCTTTTGTGTGACCGGCAGACAGAATGTCAGACTCAGAAGTGTAATAACAACATTACAATCCTGCTAGCTTGTTGTCCAAGTGGAAATATACAGGCCCAGAAATGAATAGTGAGTTGACCAAGGTCACACAGCTAGCTAAGGTCAGAGATTGCTGAAAAGGTCCTCTGTGGTCCAGGAGAGGAAGAAGAGTGACCTCAGGATGTGTCACTGCAGCACTCTTCCCACCTACAGGGGAGGGGGAGGGTAGGATCCCACTTTTTGCCTGGTATTAGAGACTTGATGATCCGTCTGCACCTTCTCTTCCTCCTCACTCTGCAGCCCACACCATCTGCCTTCCACTCCCAATCTCTGAGCCTTAGTTCATGTCCCCTGAGGGCAGGTTGTCCTCCAGGGGCCTCCCATCCGTCTGTCTGCTTATCTACAGGAGGCATGGGCCCAATGCCATTTGTCATCATGCGTTCCACTTGGCATTCTGAACTCACTCCCAGTGCAAGGTCCCCACCTGAGTGGTGTCCTATCACCATGCCCCCTCCCCATTAGTATTTTGGAAAACCTCCCCAAAGAACTTTTTCTTCCATGGCAGCCATTCCTGAAGTTTTGGAAGTATTACAGCTAGATGCCAGAAGCCTGCATTCTTGGCATGTAGAAAATAAGTCAGGCCAAAGAGGGGAGAGGGATGGAGAGAAAAGGGTGAGTGAGTTCTTGGCCTCTCTGCCAGGCCTACAGTAGTTTCACCCCAACCCTGGTCACTGAGAGCTTCACTTCTTGCTGGTCCAGGTGGTCAGTCTGGCTTGGGTGGGCCTGTGGGATTTGATGGAGGAGACAGGAGAGAGTGTCCCCAGATGCAGTTGCTGCCCTCACCTCTGCCAGGGACTCCTCACCATCACAAGTGTGAGCATGGGCTTGCCTGACACATGCCATCACAGCCCTGGGAGGTGGGCTGGGCATTGTTGGCCCCATTTCCCAGATGAAGACACCGAGGTCCAGGGAGAGCAATGACCCAACCCAAAGTGATAAGTGAGTTAGTGGTATTTGTTCATTGTCTGAAATCAATAAATATTTATTGAGGCACTGTGCTAGGTGCTGGGAATATAAAGGTGAGCAGAGCAGACATGATTCCTGTTGAGCAGGGCCCTTCAGAGGCTCCAGGTTCCTGTATTGCTGGGCCTCTGGCAGCAATGCATTGGCAGGAGCACTGTCTTGAGAGTCCTCCCTTGAAGCTCAGTGTGCAGATTGCAGATTTGTGCCTCAGAGCTCTTCCTCTTGTCCATGAGACTTTCTTGGAAGCCAGCATCCTTGCAGGCACTTCCCTGCCTTCTCCCCTCACAGCATCCATCAGCCTCTCACAGTGCCTGGTCTTCAGTGTCCCACCTGCCAATGGCCTCTTCCCTTACCTGCCACTCACAATTCGTTATTCACCTTTCACAGGGAATGGAATGAAAGAACAAACAGGAAAATCTTAACCTGTACAGCCTCTTGGATGATGGGGTGGGAAGTAAGGACCTGCCCCCCAGTTTCCTGTTGCCTGGAAAAATCTGGAAGAGCTCCTAGGGCTTTGGAGAATGAAGGCACCCTTGTCTGGATGCCACCGCAGCTTCCTCCCTCTCACCCCTTCCTCCTCCACCTCCTCCTCCTCATCTTCAGCCCAGCAAGGCCAGATTTGTCTTGCAAAGTGGCATCATTATAAACGCATCAGCCTCCTCTGGACGCCTGAGCCTGCTACCTAGCCAGCCCATCCAGGCTCCATTACATCTGAGGCTGTCTGGGGTAATTAAGTGACATTAGGACGCATCACCCATTGTAATGCAATGTTCAAAGCCCTGGGCTCTCCCTTCCCGAGAGCTGCTGCTGATGCATTGAGGCTGTGTCTGTCTAATGCACCCCACTGTGATTGCGGCTAATTACTCCACAGACAGGCCTCATTAGTGGTGGGTTTGGGCTGGAAGGTGAGAAGCAGGCTGTCTCCCCTGCCTCCCGCAGCCCACTGGTCTCCCCTCTCCCTCCAAGGCCCAGCTTGCCTTACTTTGCTGTTGAGGCAGGATTAGAATAGGGCAAAGGAATTCCCAAAAGAGGGCTCATCTGGACAAGGTCATCTACTGAGCTACAGGGCCTTCGGAAACTTTTCAACTGCTTTATTCAACCAATGGGAAGCCAAGGCCCAGAAGGGCTTACTGACTTGCCCAAGGTCACACAGCACCTCTCCTAACTGCCCAGCTTGGAGGGGCAGGCGGACCAAGTGGGATTATGCACAGCCAGGACCCATCTGCGTCCAGAGCTAGTGGGAGAAAGGGCTCATGGGCACCCAGGAGAAGGGCTGGATGGCTACGCTACCCTAGAGGCTCTTTCTGATCTCTAGGCCTTTGCAACTCTTGCCTGGAATCTTCTTCTGATGCCCTCTACCTGCCACCTTGCACTGACTGACTCCTTTCCTCCTTCAGGTCTTACTTTCTCCCGGAAGCCTCCCCTAACTCCTCAGTTCTGTGCTCCTCATATGTGCTCCCATGATTCTCTGTACTTCCCCATCTTGGCAGTCGTCGCTCTGAATTGTCAATGCCTAATACCCTACATGACTATACCCAGAGGAGGAGCAAGCACTGAGACTGTCTTGTTCATGTGCTAGGCATTAGCCTAGCTCACAGATGGCCTCTCAGAAGAATTAGTAGAAGGAATGATGTAATGATTGATGGCTGCTTGACCAGTACAATGAGTACCATGGGAAGGCTGTTAGTGTTCACTCACATCTGAGAGCTTCTTTATACTTCCCAGTCTCCTTTGCTTTTAGGTTGGTCACATGACTCACTCCAGCAAATGGGATGTGAGCAGAAGGTATATATGTTACCTGAAATAAGGTGAATCTGGTGTGCTTTTCTACAATCCACGTTCCCTGAGTGATGCCAAGATAATTTTGAAGCTGCAAGATGGTGGAGCCACAAGATAAAAGGAACCTGTATCCCTGAGTCACCACATGGAAGCGAGACATCCAGGAAAGCCACCTGACATGGGTCATATGAGTAAGAAATCAACGTTACCGTGCAAAGCCACCGAGATGTCAGGGCTGCTTAGTAGAGCGGCTAGTGGGACTTACTCTGACTAATATGAAGTGGTTAAACTTGATGGGATGCAAATAGGCAATGGCTTAATTTTTTCCAATCACTGCTTTTAAACATTCTCCTATTAAGCCTTCTTTCCCTGTCTCTTCACAACATCTTGGACAGATTCTAAGTTCTTGGTTACTGTTGGCTATAAAAAGAACCTCATCTTAGTAATTAGAACTTAATTTCAGGGCCAGTCCAGCCTCAGAGCTTTGTGCTGACATTCAATTTAAAACTCCTTCCTTTCCCTCAGCTCAGGTCTGACTCACGGCTTGGAGATCAAGATTGATCTGTTCTTTTGCTTCATTTCTACTTTCTTGCCCTCCTGCTGGCTCCTTGAGGGTCAGGGCAAGGAGATAGAGGAATAGTAGAAAAAGGGGCTAAAAGTCTTAGGTCCCCACCTCTGCTGATGTCCTGGGCGTCAGATTCTCAGAGGCTGGTGTTTGGGACAGTGCAGTTGCTGGTCCTTTGGAGGCACCACATGGACCACCATCTGCCCCCTTCTCTGATGGTGGCCGTGCAGAATGCTGCTCAGGGTGGCCTCTGGTTATACTTTCCTCTCCTGCCCTCACCTAGTCTCTGCCACCAAGGGTGTGTCCCAAGCCCATGGGGAACTCATGCATCCTTCCTACTATAGGACAGCAGGTTGCCCCACCAATTCTCACACTCCTATGCCAAGGCAGGCACCTGAAAGACCTGGGAGGTCACAATTCCAAAAATGAGTGGAACCATCTGTCCCTTCTTAGGGGCCCTGTGGAGGGAGGAAAGACGCCTGAAAAATAAATGTGGCTTGGGATTCTGTTGGCTACAGATTCATAACATCCAAGTTGAGGGGAATATTTTGTGTCACAAAAGGATTCTTCTAGGATTTACTAACTTGGAATTTGGCTAAGTGGAGAGGTAAGGGTGAGACAGATTAAAGAACTGCTCTGTTCTTTTTGTAGGTCATGGGTTCTTTGGGGAATATGATGAAAGTTCCCTAGAAAAGTGCATGTATTCATGTATGGATAGTGTTTATTATGAAATTTTAGGGCATCCTGAATCCCACTGTGTCTCCCAGAGGGGTCCATGAAATCCCAGTTAATTATCACCAAACCAAAGTGCTGCTCCCCTGAAGTCTGACTCCTTCAGTGTGGACCCATTTGGGGACCCTGACACTCGCCCCCTGCCCCCTCCTCAGACTCTCTGCAGTGTCACAGTGAACTTACTCTTCTTCAATGCGCATGACAACTCCTGCCTTCATGTCTTGCATGTGCTGTGTCTTCTGCTGGGGGTTCCTTTCCTCTGTGCCACCCAGGTCTCACTGCTGTGCAGAACTCAGCCCACGCTCCATCTTCTCTAGGAAGCCATTGATGGTAGGCAGGATTCTAGAGACATTGCCCCAAGATTCCTGTCCCTGGCTGTTCAGTTGAATATGAATCCAGGTATGCTGCAAAGAAGGGATTTTGCAGATGAAATTAATGCTACTAATCAGCTGACCTTCAAGTAGGGAGATTAACCTGGATTATCTGAGTGGCCCAAATATAATCACATGAGCCCTTAAAAGCAGAAGAGGAGGGCATCAGAGTCAGAGAGATGTGGTGGAAAGGGAGAGCAGAGAGATGAGGCAGAAGAGGAGGTCAGAGCGAGTCACGGTGCAGGGAGGACTTGAGCCTGCATTGCTGGTTTGAAGATGTGGGAAGAGGCCAGGAACTGAGGATGCAGGCAGCCTTCAGAAGCTCAGAATCATGGCCAAAAAATGGGGACTTTGATCCTGCAATGGCATGGAACTGAATTCTGCCCACCACATGAATGAGTCTACAAGCAGATTCCTCCCCAGAGCCCTGAGAAAGGAACACAGCCCTGATGGCACCTTGATTTAGGTTCTATGAATCCCAGACCAGAGAACCAGCTGAGCTGTGCCGTGCCCAGATTTCTGACCTACAGAACTGTGAGGTGATAAATAGGTGTGGTTTAAACTGCTGAATGTGTGATAATTTGTTATAGCAGCAATAGAACACTAGCACATCATTGGCAGTGCATTAAATGGAGCCACAAAGTCTTTGACATATTGAGAGGTGGAGGTGTTTCCCCAGCCCTTGAATCTTAGCTAGTCTGTGACTGCTTTGACCAAGGTGGCCAGCAGAAGTGAACACACACTAGTTCCAGGTCCAATCTTTAAAAACACTTAGGCCGGGTGCAGTGGCTTATGTCTGTAATCCCAGAACTTTGGGAGGCCAAGGCGGGTGGGTCACCTGAGGTCAGGAGTTTGAGACCAACCTTGCCAACATGGTGAAACTCTGTCTCAACTAAAAATACAAGAATTCACCAGAAGTAGTGGTGGGCACCTATAATCCCAGCTACTCAGGTGGCTGAGGCAGGAGAATTACTTGAATCTAGGAGGCAGAGGTTGCAGTGAGCTGAGATCATGCCACTGCACTCTAGCCTGGGTGATAGAAGAGACTCCGTCTCCAAACAAACAAATAAAAAACAAGCCAATGAACAAAAACACTGGCAGCTCCCATGTTGGTTTCTTGGAGCTGGGAGCTGCCATTTTAGAACTTTGGCTATGCCTAGACATCCATGTGACAAGGAGCCCAAGCTAGCCATGTGGACAGGCCATGTGGTGAGAGGTGCCTGGCCAGTCCCAACTCCCAGCCATTAGCCATCCCAGCTGAGGCCACTGACATCATGGAGAAAAGACAAGCCACTGACCCACAGTACAGAGAGATACAATAATAATAAACTACTGTTCTTAAGTCATTAAGATTTGAGGTAGTTTGTTCTGCAGAAATAAATAACTAGACTGCACCATATCAGCTTCAATTCCCAAGGATCTCTCCCTTCTGTCAATCCCTGGAGCTCACTGATACCGCTGCACACCCTTGATTCCAGAAGCTGATCTTAATATGTCTGCAGCAAGAAGAGTCAGTGGTGAGGTTGGCGTATTTCCCCTGCCCCAAGGACTACCCTAGCAAGTTACACTGCACACTTGAAATTTCTGGGTGAACTCCAGGTCCTGCGTGTGCACCTGCAAGGCAGTGCCTGGTAGACCAATGAAGCCTTCTCTGGCCCAGATCCTTTTGCATATAGTGTGCTCTGGACTCTACGGAACTCTCCCTGCAGCCTACTGGTACTACCAGGAAGAGAGCTGTCCCTAGTGGTGGCAGCTCCGTTAGAGGAAAGTCACTTATTATGCTGGACATACCCAAGGATTACCTTACTCACATCCCTGCACACTGATGTGGGTGTTCCTCCCTCCGTTCCCTGTTCTCATTTCCTGTGGGGTCATCCCCATCCACCACAGAGAATACAGAAAAGGATTTTCCCCCACCAGCCATGCCCCAGCTAAGGTTGACCAGTTCTCAGGTTACTCCCAGGAAGCAGTGGGACACTTTATGCAAACTAAGTAATAGATTATACCACACTCAAAGACAACCACCAGACTTTGTGATCACATGTGATTTTGTCTTCCCCAGGGGACTGAGGGCAGAGACCATGGCTCAGATTTCTCTGGGTCCCCAGTGGTACCCAGAATGAGGCTGGGGATGAATGAAGGTTAATTCATGAAGGTCAGCAGCATCACTGAAATGAAATTTCGAGTCCAGACATCAGAGCTATTCTTACAACACATCCTTTCTGGGTTTTGATACCTTTCTCTGCAGGGACCCTTGGTTCAAATGAAGTCTTATGTGGAAGCTGCACAGCTGTGTCTTGGAATTGGGGGATAGGCGGGGGCCCTGTTCCCTCCACCTTCTGGTCACTCCTGCAGCATCTCTGAGGCAGCTCCAGGGAACCCCGAGATCCATAGGACATAGTTTGAAACCCATGGGTTCATCCATTCTTGTGGTTTTCTAGCAGAGAAACTGAGACTCCAAGAAGTTCTGTGGGTCTGTGGCTTGCCTATGGTCACACAGCGAATAGAAATGTTGGGACTAGAACCCCCATCCTAGTTCCTTACCTTCTTCCACACCCCACTGTCCTAGTCAGAATCATAAAGCCCTAATATGGAAAGGACCTCTAGGTCAGCACCTCTGGGAGCAGGAATCCTTTTTGCATGCCTCTAACAAGCAGGATGGCAACAGCTTGCATTCCCTCCAGGGGTCGGCTGCTCAATACTTCCAAGGCAGCACATTTAATGGTGAGACCATTCTAATTCTTAGAATGTTCTTTTATGTGGAGCCCAAACATATCTTCCTATAAATGTTTGTCCCATGTTTCCAGGGTCAAGGTTATGACATATTATGCATATGAGGGCCAAGAATCCTATGCTCTGGCCCTGCTGGAGGGAGCTTTTGGTGTGTGTGAGTGTGAGGGAGAATGTGAAAGTGTGTGTGAGAATGTGTGTGAGTGTGTGAGAATGTGAGTGTGTGAGTGTATGTGTGTGTGAGTATATGTATGTGTGTGATAGTGTGTATGTGTGTGTGTGAATGTGAGTGTGCATGTGTATGTGCATGAATGTGTGTGTGAGAAAATGTGTGTATGTGTAAGCATGTGTGTGAGTGAGAATGTGTGTGTGTATGTGTGAGTGTGTGAGAATGTGTGTGTTTGTGCATGTGTAAGTGTGTGTGTGACAATGTATATGTATGAGAATGTGAGTGTGTGTATGTGTATGTGTGTTGTGTGTGAGAATGTGTATGTGTATGTGTGTGTGAGCACGTGAATGTGTGACAGTGTATGTGTAAGTGTGTCAGTGTATGCGTGTGAGTGTGTATGTATGAGTGTGTGTGAGAAAGTGTGCAGTGGAGCAGCTGAGAGGAGGGATGGGTTA